CATGAACATTGACAGCAAAAGTTCTCAACAACATAGTAGCCAAGCAAAACTGGTAACATTCTGTACACCATGACCAAGTAGAATTTATCCCAGGAATGCAAGATTGGTTTACCATCTAAATGTCAATTACTATGTAACAACATTTGAATAGAATAAAAGGCAAAAACCACACAATCATGTTAATAGGTACAGAAAAGTATATTTATAAAATCAACATTTTAACAAACTAGAAATAGAAGGGGACTTGCTCAATTTGAAAGAGGGATTGGACTGAATGCTAAAGACATCCTTAAGATGGGGAGCAAGGAACAGATGTCAGCTCTTGTCTCTTCAACATTGTACTGGAGATTCTAACCAGTGCAGTTAGAAGAGGGAAGAAAGGAAAAAGGAAAAGAATCTGTATTTGCAGATGTTATGAAACCTGTACACAGACAAATCCGAGGGAATACATGCACACATAAATAATCTGAACTGATAAATTCCATTCACGGTAGCATTAAAATGAATGCAATACTTTGGTATAAATTTAACAAGAGAAATACAAGACATTTGCAATGTATAAGTACAAGGTATTGCTGAGAGAAAGATCCAAATTAGAGATTCTGAAGGAGTGGTGATTGTTCCCGCTAAGAGACACTTGGCAATGTGCATAGACATTTTTAGTTGTCACAACTTGGGGGGAAGAGATACTTTGGGCATCTAGTGGGTAGAAGCCAGAGATGTAGCTAAATGTTGTACAATGCATTTACATTGTACATGTAATATACAATGAACGATAAAAAATCATCTGGCCCCAAGTATGAATATCCCTGAGGTTGAAAATCCTGATCTAAACAGAGAGGCATTTCATGTTCATGGATCGAAAGACTCAATATTGTTAAGATGCCAATTCTCAAAATGATCTGTAATTTTTTAAAAATCCCTATTCCAGCAGCATTTTATGTAGAATTGATAAGCTGATCAAAAGATGTACATGGAAATGCAAAAGGTCTGGAGTAGTGAGAGCGGGAAGGGGCAGCAGAGAGCCTGATGCAGGGCTGGAACTCACAAACCATGAGATCATGACCTGAGCTGAAACCTAGAGTTGGACACTTAACCGACTGAGCCACCCAAGCGCCCCGCAAGACAGTTTGTTAAAAGAACAAAGTGGGAGGACTTACACTATCAGACTTCCAAACTTACTGGAAACTACTGTAATTGAGAGTTTGGTTTTGGTACAGAATACGCATATGGATAATGGAACAGAATTTAAAGTCCAGAAATCCTTGCATTTATGTCATTTGATTTTTGACAAAGATCTTAAGGGAATTCAGTGAAGAAAGGAAAGTCTTTTTAAATTGTCCTGGGATAACTATATCTGTATGTGAAAAACAAACAAAATAACAACAATAAAACCATGGGCACCTGGCTGGCTCAATCAATAGAGCACACAACTCTCGATCTCAGGGTTGTGAGTTCCAGCCCCACATTGAGTGTAGAGGTTACTTAAAAATAAAATTTAAAAAAAATTTTTTTTAATGTTTTATTTATTTCTAGGAGAGAGAGAGAGAGAGACAGCGTGAGCAGGGGAGGGTCAGAGAGAGAGGGAGTCACAGACTGAAACAGGCTCCAGGCTCCGAGCTGGCAGTCAGCACAGAGCCCGACGCGGGGCTCAAACCCACAAACCGCGAGATCATGACCTAAGCGAAAGTCGGACGCTTAACTAAGCCACCCAGGCGCCCCAAAAATAAAATCTTTTTTACCCTATTTATTTATTTTTATTTATTTATTTTTGAGACAGACAGAGCACGAGTTGGGGAGGGGCAGAGAGAGAGGGAGACAAAGAATCTGAATCAGGCTCCTGGCTCTGAGCCGTCAGCACAGATCCTGATGCGGGGCTTGAACCCATGAACTGTGAGATCATGACCTGAGCCAAAGTTGGAAGCTTAACCAACTGTGCCACCCAGGCACCCCCCCCCCCAAATAAAAAACAAACAAAGACACTTAGGCCATTACCTCACACCATAACCAAAAAATGAACTTAAACTGGATCACAGACATAAATGTAAGAGCTAAAATTTGTAAAGCTTCTAGAAGAAAACTTAGGAGAATTCTTCATGATTTTACATTAGGCAAAGATTTCTTTTTTTTTTTTTTTTTTTTACAAATAGTTTATTGTCAAATTAGTTTCTACATAACACTCAGTGCTCATCCCCAAAGTGCCCTCCTTCATGCCCATCCCCCCCTCCCCCCCACATCCATCAGTCCTCAGTTTTTGTCAGCATTCAAGAGTCTCTCATGGTTTGCCTCTCTCCCTTTCCCCCACCATTTCCGCCCTTCTTCTCCCCCTTGGTCCTCCGTCAAGTTCCTCCTAATCCTCCTATACGTGCAAACATATGGTATTTGTCCTTCTCTGCCTGACTTATTTCGCTCAGCATAACACCCTCAAGGTCCATCCATGTTGCTACACATGGCCAGATTTCATTGTTTCTCATTGCCATGTAGTATTCCATGGTATAGATAAACCACATCTTCTTGATCCATTCGTCTGTTGATGGACACTTAGGCTCTTTCCATGTTTTAGCTATTGTGGAGAGTGCTGCTATGAACATTGGGGTACATGTGCTCCTATGCCTCAGCATTTCTGTATCCCTTGGGTAAATTCCTAGCAGTGCTATTGCTGGGTCATAAGGGAGTTCTATTGTTAGTTTCCTGAGGAACCTCCACACTGTTTTCCAGAGGGGCTGTACCAGTTTACATTCCCACCAACAGTGCAGGAGGGTGACATTAGGCAAAGATTTCTTAGATGCAAGACCAAAAGTATGATCCATAAAAAAGAACAAGTGATAATGTAATTTATAAAAATTAACTTTTGCATCTCAAAAGACACCATTAATAAAATGAAAAGACATGATACAGATTGGGAGAAAATAGTTGCAAACCATATTTATTATAATAAGAGAAATCAGAATATGTAAAGTCTTTTTAAATGTTTATTTTTGAGAGAGAGAGAGACAGAGCATGAGCAGGGCTCAGAGCTATGAGCACAGAGCCCGATGTGGGGCTCAAATTCACGAGCCATGAGATCATGACCTGAGCTGAAGTCAGATGCTTAACCTACTGAACCATCCAGGCACCCCAGAATATAGAACCTTATAATAATATGAAGACAGGCAACCCTGTTTAAAAATGGGCAAAAGATTTAAATAGATGTTTCACCAAAGAAGATACAAGAATGGTTAATAAGTATATGAAAAGATGTTCAAAATCATTGGTTATTAGGGAAATGCTAACTAAAGCAACAATGACTTACTACTACATAACAAATATTGGTAAGGCTGTAGAAAAACTGGAACTCTCACATACTATTGATGGTAATGTAGAATAGTATAGACACTCCAAGTAAGTTTGGCAGTTTCTTAAAAAGTTGAACATAAATTTATGTTATAATTTGGCATTCCACTCCTTGGACTGTATCCCAAAGTAATGAAAACATGTCTACACAAAGGCATGTAATGAACATTCAAAGCAGCATTATTCATAATGACTTTAACAGCATAAATGTCCAACAGCTGGTGAATAAGTGAAATGTGTCCACACAAGGGAATACTACTCGGTAACATAAAGGAACGAGGTACTGATACATGGGACAACACAGATGGACCCCCAAAACATTCTCAGCAAAAGAAGCCAAATGCAACAGACTACACAGTATATGATTCCATGTATCCAAAAAGTCCAGAAAAGGTAAATCTATAGACAGTAGACTAGTGGTTTCCTAGGGCCTGGTGTGGGAGCAGAGATTAAATGCAAATGAGTAGGAAGAAACTTTTTTAGCCGATGGAAATGTTCTTGTGGAGATAGACCAACTCTCTAAATTTACTAAAAATCATTGAACTGTACACTCACAATGTGTGAATTTTATATCCTGTAAATTATTAGTAAAGCTGTTTTTAAAAAGTTACTCAAGGGACGCCTGGGTGGCTCAGTTGGTTAAGCAGTAGACTTCAGCTCAGGTCATCATCTCACAGTCCGTGGTTTCGAGCCCTGAGTCGGGCTCTGTGCTGACAGCTCAGAGCCTGGAGCCTGCTTCAGATTCTGTGTCTCCCTCCCTCTCTGCCCCTCCCTCTCTAGCTCCGTCTCTCAAAATAAAATAAAGACATACCAAAAAAAAATTTTTTTTTAATAAAAAGTTCCTCGAGGAGGGGAGGATCATATTGTAGACGCACTTAAGGCTTCCAATGCCACATGACTTGATCAATTTGCCCCTAGTAAGGAGAGTAACTAGCTGTGCTGCTTTGTGGAGTTAGGTTCTTCGATTTATAGAATCTTCAAGAATTACCGTATGCACGGAGTCAGAGTATTCCTGGGGTGAGAACGGATAAATGGCAAAATTATTCACAATTGTACAGAAAGGATTTTTTTTTTAGTTTTGGTTCCTATGAAAAAGGAGGCCCTCCGTTTTCTGAGGCATCATAGTATTTTAGGCTGGAGGAAACAGTTAAGTGCAAACAGGTGAGTTCCAGCTCCAGCGCGGTGTGTTTTGGGGAAGGACGGGAGGGAGGCCCATGTGGTTATAGGGATGAGAGAGGAGCAGGAAGGGAGGTGGGCCCAGGCCAGACTGCGTAGGGTGGGAAGGCAGTAAAGCATGGTAAAGAGTTCAGGCTCCAGTGGCAGGCTTGCCTGAGTTCAAATCCCCACCGTGCCACTTTCTGGCTACAGGACTCTGAACCAGTTGCTCAGCTGCCTCAAATCTTCATCTTTACCTTGGGAGAAATAATGGCACTCGTAGGACTGTGAAGACTGTGAAGGGCGCTAATGCACGTAAAGGCTTTGGAGGAAGCACATACGTAGGCACTCGAGCACGCACTTAAGTTAGCAAAAGAAGTGGAAGGCTCGCACCCGCCAGCGGCTCGCAGCTTTCAGCCGGCGGCCTTGCTGCAAAGCCCAGTTCACCTGGGAGCCCGGAACGCCGGCAATCACCATGGTAACGAGACCTACTTCCGGAAGAAGTACGGCGCGCTGCGAGGGCCATTCCCAGCAGTCTCTCTCTGAGAGTTGACAGAGGGGCCGCCGAGGAGCGAGTTGTGGGTGCCGTGGGTTCCGCCTGCCGCCCCCCAGGTCAGCCCCGGTGCTCTCGCAGGGTCGCCCGCCTCTGCAGCTTCGTTGCCACCGGAGCCAGCTCTTCAGGCCTGGGCGCCCGGGGTGAGGCCGTGCGGCCATGGACTTCTCCAAGTTCCTGGCGGAAGACTTCGACGTGAAGGAGTGGATCAACGCGGCCTTCAGGGCGGCCCCCAAGGAGGCGACGGCCGGGAAGGCGGAAGGCCACGCGGCCACCCTGGTGATGAAGCTGCAGCTGTTCATCCAGGAGGTGAACCACGCCGTGGAGGGTGAGGCCGAGCTGCCCGCACGGGGCGGGGGCGGCGGTGGGAACGCGAGCCGGGCCCGACCCTCCTGCTGTCCCTTCCCGGGAAGGTGTCGGCTCGCTGTAGTCAGTTTTTTAAGGCTTCCCAGGTCTGGGGCTTGCTCTTCCACCCCTCGCGGTGCTGCCAAGTTTACTTTTAAAACTTAAGTCAGAAGAGTGAATGTCAACATTATTAAATAATCGTCAGCACGTCCTTAATTTTGGCAGACACGTATCAAAGGTGTATGGGACGGATACAAATCTGGGAAACGTTGTTTTAGCGGACTTTCATGTCCATGAGGAAGATGGGCGGGCCTGACGAGAGACTTGAGCCATCTTTCAAGGACTGTTAATTGTAAAAAATAGTGCACACCTGCAACTATTTCGTTAACATCTCGACTCGATCTTTATTCAATGCATACTGCACGCCAGGCTCTCTGCTAGGCTTTGTGGGAGAGACAGGTTGCACCGACTGTCCTCAAGAAGCTTATGATCCAGGAGACAGAACTTTATTTTATAGATGTGTCCAAGTGTTTAAGAAAAGGCTGGTGTTGGTGGCGGGGAGGGGCTGTATTTCACTGCAGATTCTATATTGCACTTTGCATCTTCTGCTGATTATTGAGCATCTGTTATGCATGTGCCCAGAAATGGGCAGTGCGCAAAAAATGTACTTGCTCAGGAGCCTGCTGTCTTGCGGGGAAGATACTAAACAGTTCAATTACAATGAGGCCTGGCTTTACGGCCACTAGAACCAGGAGCGGTAAGGGCTGGAAGATGTGTACAGTGACCTGGTGTCTGGGAGAATCATAAAGGGCTTTCCCTGTGTTAGGCCTTGAAGGAAGACTTCATAGGGCAATAAGGGGGGCGGCATTAATAACAATATGATAGCAATATTTGAGTCCTTGGTATGTGTCAGGCATCTTTTTTTTTTTTTTTTTAAACATTATTCATCTTTGAGAGAGATGGAGTGCAAGCAGGGGAGGGGCAGACGGAGAGGGAGACACAGAATCCGAAGCAGGCTCCAGGCTCTGAGCTGTCAGCACAGAACCCTACGGGGCTCGAACCCACAAGAACCGTGAGATCAGACCCAAGCCGAAGTTGGATGCTTAACCAACTGAGCCACCCTGCGCCCCTGTCAGGCAGTCTTTTATTTTATTTTATTTTATTTTGTTTTATTTTATTTTTAATATTTTTATTTATTTCTAGGAGAGAGAGAGAGACAGCATGAGCAGGGGAGGGTCAGAGAGACAGGGGGATACAGACTCTGAAATAGGCTCCAGGCTCTGAGCTGGCAGTCAGCACAGAGCCCGACGCGGGGCTCGAACCCACGAACCATGAGATCATGACCTAAGCGAAAGTTGGACACTTACCCGGCTAAGCCACCCAGGAGCCCCTGTCAGGCAGTCTTTTGAACACTTTATATGTATTAAGTAAGTGGATCTCAAACTGAGGGTGGCAGCGTTTCCTCCTCCTCCTCCAGCCCCCAGTATCTGGAAATTGGTGAGCGTGTTTTTAGTCCTCGCAGTGGTGAGGAGTGTCACAACGATGGACTTTTAGTGGATGTACACAGTAATGCTTGATGTCCTGTAGTGGTTGGGACAGTCCTGCACAATGAAGAACTGTCCTGGCCAGAATGTTGATATGCCCCCCTTTTTGGCATAATGAACTAATTCAAACTTGGCAGTAATTCTTAGAGGTAGGCTCTGTTATTTTTCCCACTTTATAGTTGTAGACACAATGACTGAGTGAGGTAACTTCCCCAGTCATGTTGCTAGTGCGTGGGGCTGTTTGCATTGAACCCAAGCAATTGGTTCCAGAGCTCAGGCTCGTCTCCATTATACTTTGCTACCTCTGTGGTATTAAAGAGAGAGAAAACACTGCATGCAAAGGCATGTGAGTATAAAAAGGCCTAGCCAGTCCACAGAAGAGTGACAGGTTCAAACAGAGCTCCATCAATAACATCAACAAATATGAGTCATTAGTACTATTCCCACGGGGTCACACTTCCATGGGGAGTGGGGAGACTGGCTGGAGATAAGGCAGGAAAGTAGATTGGGATCAGACTGAAAGGCCTTTTTGTCCATCCTTAAGGAATTTGGATTTCATCCCCTTAGGCACTGGGAAGCCTTCAGAGATCTAAAGCTTTCTTTCTGGGGCACCTGGGTGGCTATCTGTTAAGTGTCAGGCTTCAGCTCAGGTCATGATCTAGCGGTTTGTGAGTTCGAGACCCGCATCAGGCTCTGTGCTGACAGCTCAGAGCCTGGAGCCTGCTTCAGATTCTATGTCTACCTCTCTCTCTCTCTGCCCCTCTCCACTCATGTTCTGTCTCTCTTTGTCTCAAAAATAAACTCTTAAATCTTTATTATTATTTAAAAAAATTTTAATCTCTTTATATTATTTTTCGAGAGAGAGACAGAGTGTGAGCGAGGGAGGGGCAGAGAGAGAGGGAGACACCGAATCTGAAGCAGCCTCCAGGCTCTGAGCTGTCAGCACAGAGCCCGACATGGGGCTTGAACCCACAGACTGTGAGCTGAAGTCGGATGCTTAACCAACTGAGCCACCCAGGCACCCCTATTATTTTTTTTAAAGTTTGTTTTGAGAGAGAGAAAGCATGCACGCATGAGTCGGGGAGGGACAGAGAGAGAGAGGAAGAGAGAGAATATCCCAAGCAGGATGACAGTGCAGAGCCCAATGTGGTGCTCTAACTCACGAACCTTGAGATCATGACCTGAGCCAAAATTGGATGCTTAACCTACTGAGCCACCCAGGCGCCCCCTGAAGCTTTATTTTTATGGAAGATGAGACAATGGCTCAAGTCTTCAGCGAAGAGAGGTAATTGCAGAGGTTCAAGGAGGCTGTCTTGAGGGCTCCAAATTGAAGGATTGATTTGTTCATGAATTGAGTCAACAAATATTGGGCACAAACTGTTTTCCAGGATCCAGAGATCCAGTGTTGAATGAGACCCAGTCTTAGGTTGGATAGGTTAACAGGGGGCCAGATCATGCAGGAATTTTAATGTCACATGAAAGAGTTTGGATTTGAATCAAAATGAGTGCTGTGGGATGTTATCGGAGGAGTTTTAAGTAGGGGTGCGACATGGTTTGGTTCATGCTCCGTGCTGCCAGAGGCTGCTGCCCAGAAGAGTGGACTGTCATCATAGTGGCTTCAGCTGGGGTTATGACAGTGGACATGGTGAGAAATATGTTATTGTTAGGAGGAAGAATGGGGAGAACTTGCTGGTGGATTGGATGAGGGATGAGAGGGGGAGAGCGTCAAGAATGGCAGCAGGGTCTTGGGGCGCCTGGGTGGCTTAGTCGGTTAAGCGTCCGACTTTCGCTTAGGTCATGACCTCGCGGTTCGTGGGTTCGAGCCCCGCGTCGGGCTCTGTGCTGACTGCCAGCTCAGAGCCTGGAGCCTCTTTCGGTCTGTGACTCCCTCTCTCTGACCCTCCCCTGCTCATGCTGTCTCTCTCTCCTAGAAATTAAAAAAAAAAAAAAAAAAAAAAATGGCAGCAGGGTCTTGAACGGCACAGCTGTGGGTAGACGTGCCAAACAGGAGCATTGAGAGGATTTGTAGTGAACATCCATACGCCCACTACTTGGACTCCACAATTAACCACTTACTAGTCCTGCGTTATCACAAGTCTGGCCACTTACCAATCCCTGTCTCCATTCATCCATCTGTTTTTTGATGTATTTCAGAATGAGTTACAGACATCAGTATACTTTACTCTTGTGCATTTCAGTTAGTACCCTAAACATAATAGAGTTCAATAAGTTCAATACTTGTTTATGGTTCTTTTTTTTTCACTATTAAGATGAAATGCACGAATCCTGTCTGATGAGTGTGATGAGTTTTGATAAATGTGTACAGCTAGGATACCTCAAACCTCTGTCAAGAAATAGAATGTTACCGGGGCGCCTGGGTGGCTTAGTCAGTTAAGCGTCCGACTTTCGCTTAGGTCATGATCTCGCGGTTCGTGGGTTCGAGCCCCGCGTCGGGCTCTGTGCTGACTGCCAGCTCAGAGCCTGGAGCCTGTTTCAGTCTGTGACTCCCTCTCTCTCTGACCCTCCCCTGCTCACGCTGTCTCTCTCTCTCCTAGAAATAAATAAAAAACATTAAAAAAAAAAAAGAAATAGAACATTACCATCACCAGAGAAAGTGCCCCCATGCCCTTTCACAGTATATCTGGCCCTTACCCTCCCAGAGGCGGCCGCTGCAAGTGATAGTTTTAAAATGGATACAGGGGCACCTGGTTGGCTCAGCCAGTTAAGCACCCGACTCTTGATTTCGGCTCAGGTCATGATCTCACAGTTTGTGGGTTCAAGCCCTGTGTCAGGCTCTGTGAACACAGCGTGGAGTCTGCTTGGGATTCTCTCTCTCTCTCTCTCTCTCTCTCTCTCTCTCTCTCTCTCACACACACACACACACACACACACACACACACACACACAAATATTAAAAAAATGGATACAAGAGTGGACTAAATTTGGGGCTGTGGAGAGGGAAAAAGAGGTGATAGGGAAAATCTGTTGTAAGATGGCCAACAGGACTAATAAGAAAACATCTGTTAATTAATGAGGAATGCGGGAGTAACAGGCTATAAATTGTTCCCTCTGCTAATGCTCTGGGCTCAGATCTCTGGAGAATGATCTCTGAGCCCACCTGTATAAAATAAACCTCCTGCCTTCCAAGATCCCTGAGTGCTGCTTGGTTCTTCTGCCTGGTGATCAAGACCAGATTCCATAACAGAGGTACACAGGAAACAGCAAGGGCCGAAGAGTAACTGAGTGTTTAGCAAGTGGAGACCAGGCTGGGGCCATGACATTGTTAAAAGTCAGTCTCTCTGCAGAAGAAATCCATGTCCGTCTTTGTTTTCATAGTCTTGGAACTTTACACAGGGTCAGTGCTGGAAACAGATTGTTAAATTACGGCAGAGCTGGATGAACAGGCTCCTGAACTACTACCTCAAGATGGTAAAGCCCCATTCAAGGTCCCATTCATCGCACTGGGAGAGCAGAAGACCCTGGGCTTATTTGGTTGATTCCCCATCAAATTGCCTTTGAAGGCTTAAAGGGGTATACGGTTAACTCTCCCAGTTTCACATAACACATCACAGTTTGTGAAAATGTTCAAATTGTATTCTGCATTTGGGATGTCTGAAAAAAATGCAGTTTTCTTTTTTCTTCTTTCTTTCTTCCACTTTTTGAGAGAGTGAGCAGGGAAATGGCAGAGGTGGGGGGGGGTGAGAGAGAGAATCCAATACATGATGAGGTGCTTGACCCCATGACCTTGGGATCATGACCTGAGCTGAGATCAAGAGTTGGATGCTCAACTGACTGGGCCACCCAAGTACCTCAAAAGAATGCAGCTTACTTAATGTCACTTGATCTCCTACCAGACCTGTTAAATAAGCAACTCTGGCAGGTGCCTTAGGGACCTATATTTAACTGTACTCCAGTGGATGCTGAGAGTCTGTGGACTCTATTTTGAAAAGACCATGGAATGCAAATGGGCCAGACACATGCAAGGGTTGGTTTCAACTCTGTGAAATCTCAGTGAAGTTATTTAACCTCCCTGAGCCTCAGTTTTCTAATCTCTAAGAGGTGGCTACTCATGATTACTGTGGACCTGAAGTGATAGAACGTTTGTAAATCACCTGGCACGTAGCTGGCGTCTACCCAGTGTCAGATTCTTTCATTCTCTCTCCTCACAGAGGGAATTACACTTTCACTCACTGGTGGAAAACCGTTGATGTTGGGTCAGGTTGATGGCTCCTTCCTTGTCAAATCACATGACCTTCACCCTTCAGACTGGGGAGGACATGGTCCTGGCTGAAGCCACCTCCTGGCCCACCTCCTCTCCACTCCCCCCTTTTCCCCCATTTCCCCCAGGCTCAGAAAACTGTGTGGTTGGTAGTGCTTTGGGGAAGATTCCCTTCTTCTGATTTATTCATATGGTTCACTGGTAACTGGTCGAATTTTCACCTTTCATTCTTGGGTTCTTACTACAGAAACAAGTCACCAGGCTCTTCAGAACATGCCCAAAGTGCTCCGTGATGTGGAAGCCCTTAAACAGGAGGCATCTTTTCTGAAAGAGCAGATGATTCTTGTCAAGGAGGATATTAAAAAATTTGAACAGGATACATCCCAATCGATGCAGGTATTTTGGCTCTTGTCCTAAATGTTGATGCTTGTTTTGGAAGACATTCCTCCCAACCTGAACTCCAAATTCTACTAGTCACTCAACACTCCTCTTTGGCTTGGTTCTTTCAGCTTACACAGCTGTCTTAAGCACCTGCTGAGCAACGTAGCCACGTGATTGGTGTTGTAAGGGGTCCCTGAAGATACGGGCACGTTGTGACATTTGTTTCAAGTCACTGGTGCAAGGTAGAGAAAAGACAACTGCCACTTCCTTAGTTTTCGACCCCTCGTTTCTCTTTTAGGTGTTGGTAGAAATCGACCAGGTGAAGTCCAGAATGCAGCTTGCCGCAGAATCTCTTCAGGAAGCAGACAAGTGGAGCACACTGAGTGCCGACATTGAGGAGACTTTCAAGACTCAAGTAGGTGTTTTTGTTCAGGGAATGTTGTGGCCTGATTGGGCAGGAACGTGAGATTTGGAGAAACAGATGAGAAAGTCCTTTACTTGAAACCATAAGGGATAGTAAAAAGCAGCATGCAGAAGTGTATAGGAAGAGGGTGGGAAGATCTGAAATTGTTCTGGTTCTTTCCACTTTCTTAAGTTGTATCTCCTTCTTAACTGAAGACTTCCAGTCACAGAGGTCAGGAGAAACCTCAGTAAAAAAAAAAAAAGGCAGAGAAAATGGATTAAGTGAGAGTGTGAAGCATGGGCAGAGGGACCTTACCCATCATGGGACCCTAGCAAGGTACTTAACCCCTCCTGGGCCAGCAGCAGTGGCAAATAGGAATGCTTTTGATATCTGGTTATAAGGAGGAGGTCAGATGATGTCTTGTGAAAAACTCTTTTTCAGTAGTTAAGCAAAATGAATATCATCTCTTTTGTTGTTTTTCAAAACTTACAAGTTTTTTAAAAAGCGCTTACATGTGGGGAAAAAGATTTGTGAACAGTAATGAACAGCGAAAAATGTTTTCCCTGTAACCCTGACCCCCCACCCCCACCCCCACCCCAGTGCCCTCATTTCCCTTCTACGTATAGACTCTCGAACCACCTTTATGCCCATCCTTCCCGACACATACACACTTATACCTGTTCCCTGCCCTTTGGTTCCCATAAATGGTAGCACATTGTGAACGCTGCTGTGCACTTTGTTTTTGTACTCAGTGATCTATTCTTCCATACCAGTCATGTTTATCTTTACCATAGGGTGGGGGGAGGGGCAGAGAGAAGGGACCAGAGGATCTCTTCTGACAGTAGAGAGCCTGATGCAGGGCTCAAACTCACGAACCATGACATCACGACCTGAGCTCAACTGACTGAGCCAACCAGGTGCCCCAGTTATGTTTATCTTTAAGTACAATAGAGCCCCTCTGGGCTCATGACAAGGTAATTGATTTAGACTTCATAGATGTGAGTTGCAAATCTTACTTTTGGCACATATGTGACAGAGAATGGACTTAAATACAGTCTTTGATTGCAATCAGTACACTAAATATTAACGAGCTAAAAGTTAGAAAGCTTGTTTCTCCCCTCCCAACTATCCTGATATTCAGAACTAACTGCCCGCAAGATCGCCTCTGTCCACCTGGACGTCCTCCTGGACACTGCACACTGAATTCATTAATTCTGTCTAGAGCCACTGCCCATTTGCTCTTCCCTTTGGCCTCTGTTGGTTTATGGCAGCACTTCCCATGTAAGTGTCTAGGCTGGAAACCTCGACAGTCCTTAACTGCTCCATCTCCCCCATCTTTCTCTGAAATTGTCTGTTCCTTACATGCCTCTGCTACAGCTCTGACCAAGCTTCGCAGTGCTTTTCTCCTACACCATTGCAACAGCCACCCGTCCCTGCTGGCTTCCACCCTCTCATAGGCAAGCTCAGCCGCTCTCTCCCTGTGCCCCTTGAACCATACGCCTTAAATTGCGTCCTGATCTTTCCGTATGTGAACCCAAGGCCTGCACTGTGATCATCTTTGTGTCTCAGATATCTAATATGGTCTGACACATTGTAGACACCTGTTAGATATTGAAATGAAACAATTATGGCATTCTTAACTCTTTTAAAAAAATAGCTTTTCTTTTTCTAGTTATAAACATAGGTTTTTGTTTTTTTTTAACGTTTATTTATTTTCTAGAGACAGAGCATGAGCAGGGGAAGGGCAGAGAGAGAGGGAGACCAAGAGGGATTAGAGAATACCAAGCAGGCTCTGTGCTGTTAGCATAAAGCCTTACTAGGGCTTGAACTCATGAACCATGAGATCATGACCTGAGCTGAAATCAAGAGTCAGACACTTAACTGGGCCATCCAGGCGCCATCCAGGTGCCCCAAATTATGAGCATAATTTATGTGTGTCTTGGAAGATTTGGAAAATTCAGAAAAATACGAGGCAGAAAACAAAATGATCCTTTTTTCTGTCCCCTAGTAATATGCTTTTTATGTCTAATAGGTATTTTTCTATGTATTTATACATATTTGTGCCTATGTATTTTGTATGTATGCATATATTATAGGTATATAGATATTTATGTATATTCTAGTGTCTATATTCTTTTTTATTCTTTTCCACAAATCGTATTTTGCTATGTACTTAATACTTTTCAAAAACATTTTTTTAAAAAATTTTTTTTAATGTTTTATTTATTTCTAGGGGAGAGAGAGAGAGAGAGAGAGACAGCATGAGCAGGGAAGGGTCAGAGAGGGAGGGAGTCACAGACTCTGAAATAAGCTCCAGGCTCTGAGCTGGCAGTCAGCACAGAGCCCGATGCGGGGCTCGAACCCACGAACCGCAAGATCATGACCTAAGCGAAAGTCGGACGCTTAACCGACTAAGCCACCCAGGCGCCCCTCAAAAACATTTTTAAAAACATGTTTTATTTATTTTTGAGACAGAGAGACAGAGCATGAGAAGGGGAGGGGCAGAGAGACTGGGAGATACAGAATCTGAAGCAGGCTCCAGGCTCTGAGCTGTCAGCACAGAGCCCAATGCGGGGCTCAAACCCACGAGCGTGAGATCATGACCTGAACCTAAGTTGGAGGCTTAACTGACTGGGCCTCCCAGGTGCCCCCAAAAACATGATTTTTATGTTTTATTTTTATTTTTTGTAATAGTTTATTGTCACATTGGTTTCCATATAACACTCAGTGCTCATCCCAACAAGTGCCTTCCCCCATGCCCATCACTCCCCTTCCCCTCTCCCCCACTCCCATCAGCCCTCAGTTTGTTCTCAGCATTCAAGAGTCTCTCATGGTTTGCCTCTCTCCCTCTTCCCCACTATTTTCCCATTTTTCTCCCCCATGGTCCTCCGTTAAGTTCCTCCTAATCCACTTATACATGTAAACATATGGTAGCTGTCCTTCTCTGCCTGACTTATTTTGTTCAGCATAACACCCTCAAGTTCCATCTATGTTGCTGTAAATGGCCAGATTTCATTCTTTCTCATTGCCAAAAAACTTGATTTTTAATGGCTGCACAATATTCCAAATGCCATTATGAGGGTCTCAACCTTCATATTTTATTATCAGGGAAGATTTAGGTCAGTTCTAGGTTTTTTTTTTTTTATTACAGCACTAGAATCACATTAATTAATTAAAATGCATGAATATCTTTGTGTCCCTCTGATTGTTTCTATTTTTAAAAAAATATTTTCAAGTAATTTCTACACCCAACATGGGTCTCGAACACACAACCCCGAGATCATGCTCTATCAACTGAGCCAGCCAGGCACCTCCTTCTAATTGTTTCTTTAGGACATATTTCTGGAAAAGGAAATACCAGGTCAAAAGATAGGAATAGTTTTCAAGGCTCTTGATGCATATTGGTGACATGTTTTCAGGAAAGACACTGTAAATTTATGATACCAGATAGACTTTTTTTCTTCACACCCTCAACCAACAATAGCTATTATAATTTTTCCAGCATTTTTCCACTTTGTTAGGAGGAAAACTCTTTTGTTTTGTTTTGTTTTTGTTTTTGTTTTAATTTTATTTTTTTAATATTATTTTTTTTACAAATATTTTATTGTCAAATTGGTTTCCATATAACACCCAGTGCTCATCCCCACAAGTGCCCTCCTCCATGCCCATCTCCCCCCTCCCCCCCCTCATCCATCAGTCCTCAGTTTGTTTCTCAGCCTGCAAGATTCTCTCATGGTTTGCCTCTCTCCCTTTCCCCCACCATTTCCCCTCTTCTTCTCCCCCATGGTCCTCAGTTAAGTTCCTGTTAGGAGGAAAACACTTGTTTTAATTTTATAAATTGTCTTTTCATGTATTTTGTCCTTTTTTTTTTTTTTTTTTAAGTAGACTCCACACCCAACAGGGGGCTTGAACCACAACCCTGAGATCAGGGGTCACACGCTCTACCAACTACACCAGGCTGGCCCTCTGTATTTTGTCCATTCTCAATTGCAGTACGTGGTGTATTTTAAAGTAAATATCCCTAATTCTGGTCTTTTTATAGGATGTAGCTGTGATTTCTGCCAAGCTGACAGGTATGCAGAATAGCTTAATGATGCTTGTGGATACACCAGACTACTCAGAAAAGTGCGTGCACTTGGAGGCGTTGAAGAACAGGCTGGAGGCCCTGGCCTCCCCGCAGATCGTAGCGGTATTCACCTCCCAGTCTATAGGTGAGTGCTGGCCCTTTCTTGTCTCTGTGTGCACCTCTTTACAAAGGTAAGGCTTTCCAAGTCTTCAGCCTTTGGAATGTCTTAATGTGGATTAAATTACGTAGATTGGAAGTTAAGTTGTAACTTTCTGGGGTGGTTGCCTTTTTTCAGTATTTTATATGATGAGCATTTTCAAACATACAGAAAAGGTGAAGTAAGTGTAGGACAGACACACCTTCTAGACTCTAGCCTGACATTTTACCACATTTGTTTTGTCACTTAGCTGTCCACCCTTCCATCTCTCTCTCCATCCATGTCTGTTTCAATAAATGTCAGAGTCACTGATAAATATCAGCATGTTTCACTCTTAAACACTTCAGCATTCCTGTCGATAACTGGAGTTCAGTATTGGTTTGTGATTCTCTATTTTTGAGTTAAAATTTACATTTAGAAAAACGCACAAATCTTAAATGTACCATTTGATGAGTTTTGACCCTTAGCAAGTATTACTTTTATTTCCTCCCGATCTATTAATAGCATTCCTAATATTGTATTATTCTTGCAACTCAAGAGTGTGTTTATGGGGTGTGTATGTGTGTGTGTGTGCATGGTAATGTACTACTGGTTATTTGTTGATATTTTATTTAGAATTTTTTCATAGAAATCCCCTTAGGGATTTATCAGGCTTTAGTATCATGGTTGTATTGGCTTCATAATAGCAATTGGGAAACTTTTATTCTTCCTTATTTCTCTGTTAGGTTTTAAGGAACATTTTTATCAAATACTGCCATGGCCCCATTGAATGCTTTATGTCTGTGGTTCAACTTGGGTATGAATATTACAGTTTCTGCCTTCTTTTTTGTTTGTATATTTGTTTTAGTATGGCTTTACCCACTTTTTTTTTTAACCTTCAAGCTTTTTGCGATGCTTTATTTTAGACTTGGCTGTTGGACATGGCATATGGTTGAAATTTGTTTTTTGATCTAATCCTTGCTTTTCTTTCTTTTCTTTTTTTTTTTTCCCTAAGTGGCTCCATGCTAACATTGGGTTTAAACTCACAACACTGAGATCAAGAGTCACATGCTGTACTGACTGAGCCAGTCAGATACTCCTAATCCTTGTATTTTTTAATAAGTGATTTTAGGGGTGCCTGGGTGGCTTAGTCGGTTAAGCGTCCGACTTTCGCTTGGGTCATGATCTCGCGGTTCGTGGGTTCGAGCCCCACGTTGGGCTCTGTGCTGACTGCCAGCTCAGAGCCTGGAGCCTGTTTCAGTCTGTGACTTCCTCTCTCTCTGACCCTCCCCTGCTCACGCTGTCTCTCTCTCTCTCTCCTAAAAATAAATAAAACATTAAAAAAAAAAATAAGTGATTTTATCCCACTTAGGTTTTTTTTTTAATGCTTTTATTTATTTCTGAGAGAGAGAGAGAGAGAGAGAGAAAGAGACAGCATGAGCAGGGTAGGGTCAGAGAGAGAGGGAGACGCAGAATCTGAAGCAGGCTCCAGGCTCTGAGCTGTCAGCACAGAGCCCGACACTTGGCTCGAACCTACAAACCGTGAAATCATGACCTGAGCCAAAGTCAGACACTTAACTGACTGAGCCACTCAGGCGCCTCCCATTTAGATTTTTTTTTAACAGAAATTTTTAGCCTCTACATTTTTTGCTTTCTGTTTCTGCTGTCTTTGTGTTTTTTTCCTCACAGATGATTTGAAAGATATATAACTTATTTTAGTTTTTCTAGTGATTTATTATTTCAAATACTAAACTAAGCTTCTTTCTCAATTTTTTGGACTTATAATGAAACGATATCTGACTCCCCCAATTAGTGAACTTTGATTCTTCTTCCCACCCATCTCTCTTCCCTGCTCGATCTAGAAGATTGCATAGTCTAGAATTTTAATCATGGCATACTATCAAATTATTAATTATTAATTTTTTATCGTGTGGCTTCTTTCTTTTAAATATTAGAAAATTTTCATATTTTATAATATTTTTATATAACTCTTTCCCAACCAATAATTGCCATGGTTATTTATGCTAAATGTCTTGTTTAAATGGATTCAGTGCTCACTTAGACTTTTCAGCCCATGTCTTCCCCATTTGTTAATTCTTTGAGGCTTCTCTTCATGACCAGGAGTCTGTTTTCAAGCAGATTTTTTGTTTCCTCAGGAAGGGCATCAGGATCATATGTAGTGTTTATGTAGTAAAGAATGTCTTTCTTTTGCTTTTACACGTGGAACACAATAACTGCTTTTGGATTTTGGATTACACTTTTTCCTTTAGAATTTAAGAAACTTTGCTTTCTTATCTTTTGCCAACTATGTTTTGCTGATAAGTATGAGACTGACCTGCTTTTGTTTTTGTTTCTTTTCCTTGAATAGTTAAAACAGGGATTAGCAATCATTTTCTGTAAAGGGCCAGCTAGTAAACATTTTGGGCTCTCTGAGCCATGTGGTCTGTGTCATCAATACTTTAACTCTGCAGTTGTAGTGTGAGAGCCTGTGTTCCCATAAAACTCTATGACAAAACTGAGTGCTGATTTGGCCTGCTGGCTCATAGTTTGCTGACTTCTGACCTACAAGATTCTTTCTTTTGCTTACAGTTTAGTTACTTCATTAGATCATTTTTCAGTTTGGGGAAAAATATATGCTGATCCATGTCTTTCTCCATTTCTAGAAAATTTCCTTTCTTAAAAAAATCTTTTTTTTTTCTATTCTATTTGTTTTTTTTTCCATCTTTGAGAACATCAACTATCTGTCCATTAGCTCTCTGTTTACCCCTCCCTCTATGTCATGTTTTCTCTGGTCTATTTTAGCCCTTCACCAGCTCTCCCATAGTCTTTTTTTCCAAAAAAGATTGCTTTCCAGTTCACCAACAGCATTTTTTTTAATGTTTTTGTTTTTTTTTAAATGTTTTATTTATTTCTAGGAGAGAGAGAGAGACAGTGTGAGCAGGGGAGGGTCAGAGAGACAGGGAGTCACAGACTGAAACAGGCTCCAGGCTCTGAGCTGGCAGTCAGCACAGAGCCCGATGTGGGGCTTGAACCCACGAACCGCGAGATCACGACCTAAGCGAAAGTCGGACGCTTAACCGACTAAGCCACCCAGGCGCCCCACCAACAGCATTTTCTAAAGTATCTGTTCTGCTCTTTGTTCTCCTGTTTAATTCTTAATTTTTGTGATACTGTTATTTAGTTGCTAATTTTTTTCCCTTGGCTCTGCCAGCCTCCTTTCATATTTCCTTTTTTTTTTTTTTTAAGTAATTTCTACACCCAACATGGGATTAGAACTCAGGACCCTGAGATCAAGAGTCTCATGCTCTACTGCCTGAGCCAGCCAGGTGCCCCACCTTAGATCCTATTAAGGAAAGCATATACTATATGTTATTTCCTTGAGAGTGTGAAACAATGATAGCCTAACATTTTCTTCTCTTTCCTAGGTTAAATCTTTGAAGTGCTCTTTTTTTAAAAAAGTCAAAACAGTTTTTTTAATGCTTATTTATTTTTGAGAGAGAGAGACAGAGCATGACGGGGAGAGGGGCAGAGAGAGGGAGACACAGAATCGGAAGCAAGCAAGCTCCAGGCTCTGAGCTGTCAACACAGAGCCTGACGCAGGGCTCGAACCCATGAACCATGAGATCATGATTTGAGCCAAATTCAGATGCTTAACCAACCAAGCCACTCAGCTGCCCCTTAAATTTTTTTTAATGTTTATTTATTTTTGAGAGAGGGAGAGACAGAGACAGAGGCAGAGTGCTAGTTGGGAAAGGTCAGAGAGAGAAGGAGACACAGAATCTGAAGGAAACAGGCTCCAGGCTCTGAGCTGTCAGCACAGAGCCCAGCAGGGCTCAAACCCACGAATGGTGAGATCAGACCTGAGCCGAAGTCGGATGCTCGACCGACTGAGCCACCCAGGTGCCCCTAAAAAAGTTTTTTAAAATTGTGGTAGAACACATATAACATGAAATGTACCATCTTACCAGTTCTAAGTGTTCAGTTTAATGGCATGAAATAAACTCACAGTGCTGTGCAGCCATCACCACCCACCGTCTCCAGTACTCTTCATCTTTCTCAACTGAAAGTCTGTCCCACTGGACACCAACTCCTTTAATTTTTTAATTTTTTTTTTAACATTTGTTTATTTTGAGAGAGAGAGCGAGTGAGCAAGTGTGTGCATGTCTGCGTGTCAGTTTACACTTGAGCTGAGCATCAGGGCGGCTGGGGTGGTGGGGAGGGCAGAGAGAAGGAGACAGGATCCAAAAAGCAGGTTTGGTGCTGAGTGTAGAGCCTGATGTGGGGCTCAAACTCACAAACTCACTCACATCACATGTCATGTGATGACCATGACATCATGACCTGAGCCAAAATCAAGAGGTGGCCACTTAACCGACTGAGCTAGGTGCCCCTGAACACCACTCCTTATTCCCCCCATCTCCAACCCCTAGCATCTACCATTCTACCTTCTGTCTCTATGAACTTGACTACTCTAGGTACCTTATATAACTGGAATCGTACAGTATTTTTCGTTTTGTGATTGATTCATTTCACTCAGCATCCATGAACCTTAGTGAGGTCCGTCCATGTTGTAGTGTATGTAAACTTCTTTTTCAGGCTGAATATTATTCTGTTGGATGGATATATCACCTTTTGTTTATCTGTTCTTCTGTCCATGGACAGTTGAGTTACTTTCACCTTTTGACTCTTGTGAACAGTGTTGCTGTGCACATGAGTGTACAAACACCTGTTTGAGTCCCAGCTTTCAGTTCCTCTGGATATATGTCCAGAAGTGGAATTCCTGGATCATAAGATAATTCTACTTTTACTTTCTGAGGAGCCATCATAATGTTTTCCATTGGAATTACATCATTTTACGTTCCCACCAGCGATGTCCGAGAGTTCCAGTTCTTTCACATCTTTCCCAACATAGTGTCCTTTTCTGCTTTCTTAATAATAGGTGTGTAGTGGTATCTCATTGTGATTTTGACTTGCATTTGCCTAATAGGTAATGATATTGAACATAGCGT